AAAAGACTAAGCAATAAATTACTGAAAACAAAGCTACAGTTTAAAAAAAAAAGCTAAAATAGCAGAGAGAAGAAAATACTTTTATTAGATCGATATCCTAAAACTGGAAAAAACACACAAAAGTTTGCACATGCAAACTTTTCTCCCAATGTGAAGCTGCAAACATAAAGTCAGATGCAGTACTTCATTTCACTTCTACATAAAACAATAGAACATGCTCGGCATTTGCTTGGAGTTTTCCTTCTACTTTTGCAGATATTTCAAGAATCTGGGCTGGTTAGTTACAGAAGTGCTCCCTGCCAGTGGAGGAAGCCACAGAACTAGCTAACAGGATACCTGTCAGTCACTGGAGCCATGGGTTGACTCACAATGCCTAACAACTTGAAAATCATTGCTTGAGGGACAGCCTCCCAAAATGTCTTCAGGAAGCAACTACCTCTCTTTTCAAATTGCATTGCAAAAGATGGCCCTTTGCTTCCTGCCTTTCCTTAATCTGTAACTATGTCCGGGTTCTGTCTGTGACAGAGTTAATTTTCTTCCTAGTAGCTGGTATGGTGCTGTGTTTCTGGATTCAGTACTAGAAGAAAGTCAATAACACACTGATGTTTTAGTTGTTGCTGGGTAGTGCTTAGACTGGCCAAGGACTTCTCAGCTCTCAGCTCTGCCAGATGCACAAGAAGCTGGGAGGGGGCACAGCAGGGACAGCTGACCCAAACTGGCCAAAGGGCTATTCCAGGCCATATGACGACCTGCTCAGTATATAAGCTGGGGGAAGAAGAAGGAAGGGGGGGATGTTCGGAGTGGTGGAGTCTGTCTTCCCAAGTAACCGTTATGTGTGACGGAGCCCTGCTTTCCTGGGGATGGCTGAACACCTGCCTGCCCATGGGAAGCCGTGAATGAATTCCTTGCTTTGCTTTGCTTTGCTTGCATGCGCGGCTTTTGCTTTCCCTATTAAACTGTCTTTTTCTCCACCCACAAGTTTTCTCACTTTTACTCTTCTGATTCTCTCCCCCGTCCCATTGTGGGGGGAGTGAGCGAGAGGCTGTGTGGTGTTTAGTTGCCAGCCGGGGTTAAACCACGACAGCCATGTAATACATTTCCAGTTGGGTTGTATAGACTAGCTTAAGAGTGAAACTGGGTGGGGACACACCTTTCCCATGTTTACATTATGTGTTACAAAGCGGTATTATATGTGACCAGGATTCACAGGACAAAAAAAGCAGGGAATCTATGTTCACAAGTTTGTTGTTTCAGGCAAGGCCAACTCAAGCGATGCATTTGTTGTCGCTGATTCTAACCCATCATAAAGTGCCATGGCTAAGCCCCTGCTTGCCGTAGGTAAGGCCAGTTTTCCCAGTAGGCTACTGGAGCAGCACTTTATGCCAGGACATGTACTGTTTGCCTGTCAAAATGTTTCAAACAAATCTGAATCAACTGAGTGAACTGTAATGGATCATCTCCTTGCTCATGCAACCACTGCGTTTTCTGATCCATTTTTAGTAATTGTAAAATTGGACGCATTATGTTTTCCAAGCACAATCTAAGTAGAATAGCAGAGGTGGGAAACAGCATCAAGTAAGCACAGGAAGGTTTCCTTCACTGTATTTCAGTTAATTTGATATTGTTCAATAAATAGTTTGTCCTGGTTTCAGCTGGGACAGAGTTAATTTTCTTCATAGTAGCTAGCATAGTGCTGTGTTTTGGATTTAGTACCAGAAGAATGTTGATACCACACTGATGTTTTTAGTTGTTGCCAAGTAGTGCTTAGACTACTCAAGGACTTTTTGAGCTTCTCCTGCTCAGCCAGGTGCATAACAAGCTGGGAGGGAGCACAGCTAGGACAGCTAACCCAAACTGACCAAAGAGCTATTCCATACCATGTAAAGTCATGCTCAGGGGGGTTAGCTGGTCGGGGAGGGGGAAGAGTGATCGCTGCTCGGGATGGGCTGGGATTCGATGGTGAGAAATTGCATTGTGCATCATTCATTTTGTATATTCTGTATATTTTCTTACCATTCTCATTATTAATATTTTTTTTTCTCTTATTAAACTGTCTCTATCTCAGCCCACAGCTCTTACCTTTTTTTTTTCTTCCCAATTGTCTCTCCCATCCCACTGATGGCTCCACGTTGGATCCCCCCTTCCCATGGGCAGGCAGGTGTTCAGCCATCCCCAGGAAAGCAGGGCTCCGTCATACATAATGGTTACTTGGGAAGACAGACACCATCGCTCCAAATGTCCCCCCCTTCCTTCTTCTTCCCCCAGCTTATATACTGAGCAGGACGTCATATGGCCTGGAATAGCCCTTTGGCCAGTTTGGGTCAGCTGTCCCTGCTGTGCCCCCTCCCAGCTTCTTGTGCATCTGGCAGAGCTGAGAGCTGAGAAGTCCTTGGCCAGTCTAAGCACTACCCAGCAACAACTAAAACATCAGTGTGTTATTGACTTTCTTCTAGTACTGAATCCAGAAACACAGCACCATACCAGCTACTAGGAAGAAAATTAACTCTGTCACAGCTGAAACCAGGACAATGGCATTACACAAAAATCTTTCAGACTAATGCAATACTTCAGAAGCCTAATCCTAAGAAACAATTATAATGCAAGCACCTTATTAGCACTGCAGGCATCAGCTTGCCCTGCAGTATTACATGGGCAGCAGTGGCAATATTTAAGAATGGGAATGGAGTTCACAGACTGTGCAATACTTCTCTTCCCAAACTCATAGACATTACTAATTTCAGAGAACTTTGTTACAATGCCAGTATAATAAATCCCTTTCTATTATAGAAAACTTCACAGCATGCTGCAACACGTATGTAATTCAGCTTAACACACTACATGGAGGTCTTTAAGGCAGTCTACAAATTAAATCTACTTAGAACATGATAGCACACTGGTGCAACGCTCTCATCTTGTTTTACTTAATCAGACTTAGCTTACGGTAACTGTTGCTCGGTCGCTGCCCACACTCTGCTTTCTGTGACATTCTGCATCCTAGTAATTCGAACAGCTCTTCGATCACTCAAAATATAAATGGCTTCCTGACCTCTTCTGTCATGTATGTTGCTATACAGATGTATCTCCTGTAGAGATATATCAGCTCCTGAACCGTAACTTGAAAATGAGATGTTCAAGTTACACAAAAAAACTTTGAAGCCATCTGATTTTCTCCATATCTAACCAGGTAACACACCCATTTTCTTGACATTTGATATGTATGTCCTGGATTTTTGCTTAAAAAAGGGTAACATTCCTCTGACTGCTATTTTTTTGGCTCCTCTGACTAATTGCTCTTTCATTTTGTTCATTCAAATGTGTTGATTTGATATGCAAGGGGAAAAACTACCGTGTTGTCCTCCCAAGGCTTTTTTTTTACTACTCAAAAGTGGTAGATCTCCTTCCTAGCTAGAATGACGTGGGTCTTTGAGAGGGGCTTTACCATGGTCCTTTGATCTCAGGTACTGTAATGTGAGCAGTAAGTTAAAAGATCACCCATTATGTCTTATCAGAAAACTTGGAAGCAGCTGATGTGAAACAGGGAACGAACGTGTAAGCATTTTAGGGTTTGCTCCTTTTTTTTAAAGAAAAATCAAGTTGACTTAACTAAGAATGCAGTTAAGATGCTGTAACTCCATCTTGCTAGTTAATGAATTTTTGCTTTAAAGTTTAACTGCCTGAACTTGACATCCGTGTGAGCAAATGATACTCAAAAATCACCACCAGCACAAGAACAACTAATGGTTTTGTACAGTTATTACAACACTTTATTACACTTTATCTTTTCATTAGTCATTTCATAGAGGATTTGGTGGTGAACTTGACTGCCTTGATGTTCAGCATATCAGAATATGTTTGGTAGAACTCAGGAAGGCATGATTTTGCAATCCACTCTTTTGCAAAGCACTACAGTAGTCAGGAGAGAGGCAGTGGTGTGCAATTGCTGGTTATGCTGTGGTGTAGAAGGGGAGTGATGGCTGGTGCCCGCAGCAGCAGTCTTTCCCAGCTCCCGAGCTGTTCTCACCATGGAAGCCAGGCACCCCCTCTGAGCACCCACTGACATCCTGCACAGCATGGGTGATCGCTCCAGCACAGGTTTAGTGAACAGAGCACTGAAGCTGTACTTGGCAGCCTCCACCACCGTGGATTTACAGCCCAGGTAACCTTGTCGGGAAAATTTTCGTGCGTTTCTCAGCTGGGATAGGCACAGGACCACTTGTAGCCTGGAAAACAGCTGCAGTGACTGAGCACCTCAGCCTGCCTCAGTTGCTTAGCTCTCAAAAAGAAGTTCTGAGTGTGTTCTTAGAATCATTTAGGTTGGAGAGGTTGTTCAGGTGTGTGATGAGATCCATCACTGGCATCTGCCAGTCAGAGACAACTCTTCATGCCACGCTAACTCATGTGCAAATGGTGCAATGGCCAACAGAGAGACCAGACCATAGCTGGTATTTGAAGACAGAGTGGAAAAACCAGCGTGCTTGACACTAATGCAATGTCCCGGTTATTCTGAAATTACTGACAGCACAGAAACACGATACGTTTTTAAAAACACACGAGGACTCGTGAACACCCGGCGCTCGCTCCCGGCTCCCCCGAGGGTTTGGGGTACACCT